AAAATTTGCAGGTATGTTCCCTTTGGGGTGTGGATCGATTGGGCAAAGCCCTTGAAAAAGTTTCTGAAGGGAACCTTGAAATCTGCATACCCCTCAAAAATGGCCGAAATATCACATTATTTATGGGTCTAGAAACGAGTCACGCCACAGCGTATACGAACAAGCTATGAACAAAACTCCATCAAGCCAACATTGCCTCACCTTAGAAGAGTTCCTGGAGCAGTAACGCTTAGCCACGCCAGCATCCCAGAAGACGAGGTCCATCACCCCCTGACGCCACAAATGATCGTCTTGAAAATAGCCAATTTACAAGCGCTGGCAAAACAGCCAGCTACGTCCTCAATTGGCCAGAACTATACACCGGCAGATAGTAGAAAACCTCTTCTAGCGCTGAGGACATGTCCCCCATCTTCCTTTTGGGGTTTTCTTGAAATAAACATTTTTGAATTTTTCCACTCGACCATGCTGAAATACGGCCAAAGTCATACCTGCGCAGGAAAGCTCGCCCCTCCGCGACGTCTCTTCAGCAATTTCTACTCCAACACTACTCCCAAGGCCGCTGAACAAAGTGAAGTGTTGACTCTGACAAGGAAAAGCAGCGGTGATCACTTGTCACTCCAAACGACAAGCTTCTCCTTTCGCCACCAATAATTTTTTGTGCGACTGTTGATGTAAAAGTGACTCAAGGCCTGAGCGCAGTTTTTGAATTTTATTGCAAGATGCACGGTGAAATCACGTGCCTTGTGACGCAAGAATGCCAAGTCGTGTGGCCCACTGCACGGCTCACGAAATTTCAGAGAATACAATTGACAGTGGCATGGCGAATGATTAGAACACAACACCAAAAAATGAAAACAATTGTATGTGTGAAAAAACGCAAAAAACGAGAAACAAAAAAAACAAAAAACACCAAAAACAAAAACAAACAAAAAACAAACAAAAAACAAAAACCAGGAAAATACAAGGGCACTGTCCTGCCCACCATCGTCTCCAAAACCTCACAGCCGGCCCTCCGAGATTGCCAACTCTCGCAATGCATTCACAGGACGGTGATATGACGATCGAGCACCGCGGATGCACATTATCGCCGACCGCAACAATGCAAACGCCAGTCGACACCGGACACATGTCATTGTCTGGGCATACAACTTCGTGTCCCCACTCGAAATGAGGCCACACAGGCGCTTAACAAATCTGGAGCACTCTGGCGCACAACAACCGGCCGTGGTGAAAACTAGTGGAGTAAATGTCCCACGGTCCACATTGATGATGCGCTCAGCATACTGCAGCTTCTTCTTCCTCTCATGCTCCGCCAACAGTTTGTCGAGAGGTTTGGTGGCATAGGACGGAGCATCGGGATGAAAAACCCGGACATCCAGGAAAGCATTCTGTGCCCTGGTCCACAGCCCTCGAGCCCGGATATCAGCGCGAGCATCGTTGGCGGTGATAGTTGAGGCTGCCAGAAACACCTCTCCCGAAACCGGAGCAAGCTGAGGCTCGACAGCGACATCCGAGCAAGCTTCCGTAAGTAAATCGGCAAGAATATCGCGAACTTCATTGTGCCGAATGGTGGGGAAACCACCAGTAGGGCAACACATGGCATGGGCCGGACTGAACGGTTGGCCACAAGAGCAGGTAGTAGGCACATCAACCAATGCCCAGTCATACCGCAACGCCACCGCATCCCTGAAATCTCCCTTCGACAGATGATATCCGTGTTCTCTGATAGGCAGTGTGTTGAGCCAGCTAGAGACACCTCGGGAGGACAAATGCTCCAAACGACGCGACATATCCGCCGACGCCGACTGCCGCAGCTGGCGGAACTCAGCCTCACTTGCTGTGCCGCGTTGTCTGGCAAAATCCCTCTTGGCTGCCACAGCATCTTGCCGAACACGTTCCGGTGCTTGCTTGGTCCATGATGTGTTGTTCTGTTGCAGAATTTCACTAACCTGGGCTGCTGTCATTGCTCTGGAAGCGTCGCGCTCTGTCCCGCTCATGCTGTTAAAGTGTGGAATGGCCATTCCCCCGAAACGAGTCGGCAGCCTGAGCATCACCAAATCCTCCGTGGTGAAAGCATCTCGACCAGTTGCAGCCGGCAAGAACTCAGTTTCGATTACCTTGTCCAACGCTGATACTGCGTCCTCCGGAATGGGAACCGTACGAAAGAGGTAGACCCAACGACCCCGCAGGCCATGAGTCAAAGCTGCATAAGCCGCGTGAGGCTCTGTGCTGGCAAACTTTGCTAATGTGCGTAGCTCCTTGCACCAATCATCAACCCTCTCCCTCACTTGGCTGGCAACATCATCAGGCTCCCCGATGTATGAGCCCAGATATTTAGTGCTGCCGGTGACAATGCGGCCACCGGTGCCTTCAAACAGATGTGAAGCCTCCTCCTCCAATCCGGGCTTCACGAGAAGTAGGGTTTTGTCCGGATTGGTGAAATATCCATACAGGCGACCGTGTTCCTGGATTGTTGTCCACCAGTCTCGAATCGCTCTCATCCTGCCAGCACCACTGGAGTCATCCGCATACCAAATCTGCTTAACGGCGTCGTGTTGCTGCTGCAAATGCCGAATGATGGGGAGTGTGGCCAATGCATAAAATGCCATGGACAGCGGGTCTCCCTGGGTAGTGCCCTCCTTTGACGAAATCTCCCCACCACCAGCGACAAACAGACGTGCCTCCGACTGATAGGAGTTTAGAAGAATGGTGGATAGTGCTGGACAGAGGCGCTGAACGTTATGCAGAGCTGCCTGTCTGTTTATGCTGTTGAATGCGTTACTGGCATCCACCAACAGCACTCCCTCAGTGGACGATTCGTTGTAAATGTCTTGCATGGCATGCACTGCTGCTTCAATGCCACCTGGTGATCCAGCGCATTTCTGAAGATGTCCGCAGGCTGCCTCCACGTCAGTGGAAGCAATGCGCAGAATAGCCTTCGATACTATCCGCCTAAGCACCTCGCCCACGCCAATAGGACGTACGCCAGGCTGCTTGTCAAGGGCAATCAGCCGGCAAGACAGAAACGGCACCAGGCCTTCAGCGGGAAGAACACGGGTAGCAAGAAGACGAGAGAGGTCAGCAATAGCCTGGCACAGACTGGTTGATGCCCCCTTAAAAGAGAAGCACATCCGCCGCCAACATGCTGAGTCCATCCCAGACGGACCTGCAGATCCCTCCGAGTGCATCGCCACGGATTTCAGAAACTCAGCAGTGAGGCCATCGAAACGTATGCCTTCAACACCGGGGGCATCCCCAGGCAGCATGGCTTCAGAAGGTGGTAGCCGAGCCTCCGGATGCTTGTCCAGTAATGCCTCTTTGACAGGAATAGAGGAACCATCCCGGAGAGGTACGGTATCGTTGATGTTCAGCACACCACCCGCTTCACCACGTCTGCCTGGATCCAGGCATCTAAGTGCATCATGCACACGGCCCTGGCACATGAGGTCGGAGAAGTGGCGAGCCTCATCTTCCTCACCTCGCTTGCGGCCTCCCTTACGAGGCCGAAACAGCAAAAAGAAATTTCAGAGTGACCTTTGTCAAGTGCGCTTGTTACTCGCCTTGAACGCCCGTGGCTGTGGCGTTGGTCTGGAAGTGATCACACTTGTGTTGTTACTGCGCTCAAGAACACGCTGACCGTGTTGTAGGCCTACGAACCGGGACTTTCCCTGACCATGTAGGTCGAAGACCAGGGAAATGATGATGAAATCACATTCTTTATGACGTAAGAAATCTCTCATGCAGTTTACGCGACAAGTGCGTGCAGCCAGTGCTGCTCGCGTGCCAGTCAACACAAAGGGACCGAGCTAGCCGCTTTTGTCGAGCATCGACATGAAAACTAGGGACTTTTACTGTTGGACTATGTTCGGGATTGCAGGAGGTAAGTGTGAAAGACGAATAACTCTCCATGCTGTACGGGGCATAGTTCAACGGCTTGCTGCCATTGCAACACTCCTAGGACTGTTTGTGGGGGTTCTCAGCAGATCAAGCAGGTCCTCACACATCTGCCATCATGGTCTGTTCCGAGTAGCGTTCCAGACACGTTCGCGATCGATGGCTGCGTGTCGTGATGCAGGAAGCGTCATCCTACGTCACAGAGCACGCGATCTCACTGTGCATCTTGCAATAAAATTCAAAAACTGCGCTCATGCTCAGGCCTTCAGTCACTTTTGCATCAACAGTCGCACAAAAAATTATTGGTGGCGCAAGGAGAAGCTTGTCGTTTGGAGTGACAAGTGATCACCGCTGCTTTTCCTTGTCCGAGTCAACACTACACTTTGTTCTGCGGCCTTGGGAGTAGTGTTGGAGTAGAAATTGCTGAAGAGACGTCACGGAGGGGCGAGCTTTCCTGCGCAGGTATGACTTTGGCCGTATTTCAGCATGGTCGAGTGGAAAAATTCAAAAAAGTTTATTTCAAGAAAACCCCAAAAGGAAGATGGGGGACATGTCCTCAGCGCTAGAAGAGGTGTTCTACTATCTGCCGGTGTATAGTTCTGGCCAATTGAGGACGTAGCTGGCTGTTTTGCCAGCGCTTGAAAATTGGCTATTTTCAAGACGATCATTTGTGGCGCCAGGGGGTGATGGGCCTCGTCTTCTGGGATGCTGGCGTGGCTAAGTGGTACTGCTCCAGGAACTCTTCTAAGGTGAGGCAATGTTGGCTTGATGGAGTTTTGTT